AAACACTGTATTAAAATAGACACATATGTTGATTCAACAAGTACTTATTGAGCACCTACGATGAGACAGGAACTGTTCTAGGAATTAGGCAAGCAGGAATGAAATGAGATATGAAATGGATGAAAACAGGATGAAATATGAAAATAGGATGCAAACAGGGATGAAATTAGGCAAACAAGATGAAATCAAAAGACCCTGATCTTACCAAGCTTCTACTCTTTGGGGTGGGGGGGGGAGGGAATCACTTTTTTTCACTACCTGATATTTTATATATTTACCTGTTTATATGGGCTTCTTTAGCTGTTCAGATGGTAAAATATTGCCTGCAATGTGGGAGACTCAGGTTCCATTCCTGGGTCAGGAAGATCCCCTGGAGAAGGGAATGGCTACCTACTCCAGTATTCTTGCCTGGAGAATCCCAAGAACTGAGGAGCCTGGCAGGCTACAGTTCATGAGGTCGCAAAGAGTCAGACACGACTGAGCTACTATCACTGTTTATAAAATGTTTTGTAGTGAAAAGCACAGTGCAACGACAGAAAAACAGAACAGAGTAAGCAGAGAGAAGACAGTCATAATACTCTGCATGTGTCTGGGAAGTAGGTACGATCAGGTAAAGTTTCTTCAATAAGGAGACAAAGACCTTAGGAAACAGAAGCAACTGATTACCATTAATCTATTAATTGTCAAATTGAAATGCCTCTTGACTCCTCACCTTACTGGACCTTCCTGTATCATGAGGCACTGCTCACCAATCCCTTCTACCTTTAAAGCCCTTTCTCTCTTGGCTTCAGTGATCTTTCTTTCTCCTAAGCCCAAGTGTTTCAGATTTCACAAGCCAGCAGGGTTGCACCTGGTTAGTACCTAGGTCTCTAAGAATACAAAGTGTGACAGGCTTTTTCCAACATACTCGGTAAATATTCATTCTCCCCCACTTCCCTTCCTTGACAATTTTTAAGCCTTTTTAAAGAATGCCTGCCCCTTACTCTAGTTTCCTTTCCTGCTCAACCTTAAAGCATCAGTCCCCCCCAAGTTTTTCTTTCTTCATCTTGTTAAATATAGCTTTGCTGAGCAAACATACCTATTTTCTGTCACTAATAAGCTGATGACTACTAAACTAAAAACTCCAGATAGATATTTACAGGCAGCTATAAAACGTTTCTACCAGAGATGCCCCGAGTACCACACAGATACAACATTTCTAAAGCCAAAATCATTACCTCATCTTCCAAACTTGTCCTTCTCTTGGTTAAAGATAGTATTACGTCTTAGTCCAAGATACACAACTGCTTTATCCTCGATTCCTCTTCCCTCCCACATCCAGCAGTTCTATCTCATCTCTCCATCACAGAAATGTCTTCTATACCTATCTCCCCTTAATTTCTGCTGCTTTTGCCTTAGTTCAGATCTTTATCACATATACACATTTCCAGCCTCTCCCTTCTCCAACCGTTTCTGCTGCCACAGTTATCTAGTGAGATTGCCCACAACCCCTTCCAAGTCGGCTATGTTGTACCTGTACTGAACCACTCTTAAGGTTCTAACACACTTCCTGGGATTTTTATCCATCCAATAAACAAGCACTAAAGGCGGCCTCCTATGTACTAGGCAGTTTGCCAAATGCTTACTATATGTTACATCATTTAATACTTAATATAGTTCAGGTAGATTGGAGTGTATTAGCTCCAAAGCTAAAAAGAAACAAAGCAAGGATCCAAGCACAGATCTGTCCAATACACTGGCTATTAAAATAATATGGCATCAAAGTCAGTACCAAAAAAAAAAAAAGAATCAAGATAAATTAGTAAAGATGATGAATTATCAGTTAAACCAGTGCTTAGATTAGGGAAAAACAAACAAAAACCCCTAAAGGGACAGCATGGCTTTCTTCAACTACATTAAGAGCTACATTAGAAAAGAGCAATCAAACTTTAATCAAGTTTTAGAGGGCAGTACCCTAAGCCCTACTAATTTTAGCAGTCCAAAAGAGGACTAGGCAGGAAGATCTGTCACAATTGTTAATAATGACTTATCAACACATGAAAGGAATGACAATACATATGGATAAAAGCTGCTTAGGGTTTGTCCTCTCTCCATTTTACAGATGAAAAGCTTAAGAGATTGAACTTTCCCAGGTCTAGAATGACTTTTATTGCCTTTAGACATACCTATAGCACAGGGTGGTGGTTTAGTCGCTAAGTTGTGTCCAACTCTTGCAACCCCATGGACTGTAGCCTGCCAGGATCCTCTGTCCGTGTAATTCTCCAAGCATGAATACTGGAGTGAGTAGCCATTCCCTTCCCCATGGGATCTTCCCAGCCCAGGGATTGAATCCAGGTCTCCCTCATTGCACTTGAATTCTTTACCATTTGAACCACCCTGGAAGCCCAAGAAAACCAGAGTGTGTAGCCTATACCTTCTCCAGGGATCTTCACAACCCAGGGATTGGACTGGGGTCTTCTGCATTGCTGGTGGATTCTTTAATAGCTGAGTTACCAGGGAAGCCCCAAGAGTATGATAATCTTCAATAAAATTTTTCAGGAGTACATATATTTTCTGATTTCACAATCTAGTTTGCTGCTGCTGCTAAGTCACTTCAATCGTGCTAACTGGCTTCAATTAAAAACATGGGTTTAATTCCTTTTAACTTAATGGCAAGCAGTACTATATTTGCTCAATTATTATGGTAAAGAATCCTTCTGCAATGCAGGAGACGGGTTTGATCCCTGGGTCGGGAAGATCCCCTGGAGAAGGGAATGGCAATCCACTCCATTATTCTTGCCTGAAGAATTTCTTAGACAGAGGTGCCTGGCAGGTTACAGTCCTTGGGGTCACAAAGAGACATGTCTGAGCAACTAACCACACAAGCACACATGGTATGTATTAAGCAAATTCTCAAAGATTTTCTACTGAATACTGCAATATGAGGTTCATTAGACACCTTTGATATGCTGGATTTTAATTTCCAATAAGGGAAAACTCTATCACTGTACCAATGTACCACTGTTTATTAAATGAAGTCACAGAGGAATGAATTAATCAATTATTAATTATTAATTAATGAATTAATGAATTAATTCCTCATTAAGACTCAAATTTCATCTTTATAAAGTGAGACCTAACAAGGGCTAATTTTTTAAAAGATGGAGGAGAAAAAGAAAGGCACTAATTTCAACAAAACTCTCTGAGAGCTTTTATTTTATTAAAATAAAAAAATTCATTACCATTTGAAATTACCAATATTCAACTGTTTTGCTCTAGAAAAAGAATAATTTCATATATTGTAACCTAATTCATTACAATTAACACACCATAACATTGTTAATGGTAGCAACTTAATTTTGTTTAAAAAAAAATTAAACTCATAAAGAAGTACTGTTTAACATGAAACATCACAAGTTGGGCCCCTAAAACATACCCATGATAACATAACATATTACATACTAATATGTAATTAATATGTAACATATTACAGCAGAATTCATGTTTTTCTTCACCCATGTAATTGAGTATTATAATAGGTTTTCATTGTATTTTAAAAGCATTAATGGTAAGATTTCAAAAGTAATATCAGCACTGCTAAAACATAAGATTCACTACAATGTAGGCTCAATGAGAAGAGCGCTTTGACTTTTTATTTTTTCTTGCATCCCCAGGACCTCTCATGGACAAAGTCATTTATCTAACAAATATTTATTGAATACCTACTTTGTATCAGACATTGTTTTAGATGCTTAGCATAAATAAATGAAAAGTCAGATGAAGATCTTTGCCTCAATTACAAATGCTAAATAAAATAATAGAAAAATAAAGCTTCAGAAAAACCGTTCTAAAGCACTGTATGTGTATCAAAATAACTTCATAAGAAATCCAGAACCCAAGATCCTATGCTAAAATACCACCATATGTTTGAAAATTCATTAAAAATAATAATAATAAGATGTCTGTAGGAGTTCTCTAAACAAAAACACCTTGAGTAAGGAATACCATTACAATCCCTACTTCATGGAAACTTCGAGTGATCTGCCTAAAATAAATTAAATAAGTAAAGAACAAGAACTTCATTTGTTATAGTACACTGCAGCTGCACACAAACAGAAAATCATCACAGGTCTCGATTATCTATCATCCTCAAGGTGGTTAGTATGAGAGCGTCACCTAGGAGCAAAAGCATGAAATAATATCATACGCATTACTGTATTTGCTTTTTGGTGAGACTAGGTCACTGCAGAAAGTTAACAGTTATTACTTTTCTTTTCATAACACAACCTAAAATAATTTACTCTCCAGCATGCAACAATACACAGGGCTCAATGACTCTGTTTATTAATTCCATCTGAATCTATGTAAATTAAGAGGAGGAAAAAAAGCTAAATCATTGCAACAGGATCCCTCAGTTCTGTTAGGGTTATTCTTCATCAGAAGGATTAAGCACAATTTGAAAAGGAATCTTGAAACCGCTATTGCTAATGCTATTTTCTTCTTTTCCTTTGTTGTCTTTAAGCAAATGCTGTATCACACAGGATAACATAGGTAAGGAGAACAGAGAAGTGAAAGAACAGGGAACAAAGCAAAATCTGGAGTCCTGGTACAACACAAAGATAAACTCAAAGATAAAGAATCAATGTCGGCTTTTCCTTATAGAGTCCTCGTGAATAAACCCTTAAACCCTTCTGTTAACCTATTGTCCCGGCTCTAAAACTGGCCAGTGACATTTCCTCGAGAGATGCTCTCGGCACCCCTCCCACAAAAGATGCTGCAGAAATGGAAAAACGGTTACCTAGGGAAACCAAGGAAAGTGGCCAAGGAAAGTATCAGCAGCTCAAGGCTGGAGACACACCCCGGGGCTCCTGCAAAGGCTGGCGGTGGGGAGGCGGCAGACATGAATGGAGAGTCCACTTTGCAAGGAAAATAAAATTTGGCCAGAGGCTGTTATTACCAACAGGACACTCAGGGAGTCAGGCAGACCAGAAAATGGTAAGAAGGAATTTGCAGGCGTTTACCAGAGGGCAGATCAGGCTTGTGGGGTAGGGCGGGGGAGCGCATCAGGTATAAACCGTCTGAGGAGGGATAGCCTAAGGACCATCGGCTCGACCGCGTCGGGGGCTGCAGAGAGCCGGATCATCCCGGCCTCCGAAGGAGCGGCGGGGTCCACCACTATGAAACCTGCCCTCGCCTCCCCGGTACCGAGGTCCAGGGCAGACCCTTCCCCCCGCCACCCCACCCCCAGGCGCCCCGCCCACATCCTTTCATCTCCTCACCTTCCAGTCCCTCCATTGCGCCAACGCTTCTGGATCTGCCGAACTCCTTGAGCTGCACCCGCCACCGCCGCCACCGCCCAGCTCCGGCTGTAGCAACCCGGCCGCGCCTCCCACCTGCTAATATTCCGAGCTCCCATTGGTCCGGCGCTGGGGGCGGGGCTACGAGGGGGCGGGGCCTCTAGGTGGCCCGCCTCCTGCAGCCGCTGCCCGGGGGCCGCCCAGCTCCGCGGTTCAGCGGCTCTATGGGTGAGTGCACCGTGTTGGATTGCCTCTTGCCGCCCAATGGCGGCCTTTGTTCGACTCTCGGCTTGTTTTTCTTACGCCTTAGCCTTTTGTTTAGAATATCTCAGCACCTCAGGGTTCCCGTCAGCAGTCCCTCAATGAAGTGCAGTTCTGAATTGCCATCTGTCCCTCTCTGAAGACTTGAAGCAAACACGCAAACAGACCCCACGTCCTACACACTCTTGAGCAGCACCCTCTCCATTCCCCGCTATGTAGTCACACTTCACCGGAGTGTATTTCCTAGACTTTCTCTTCACACATGGATATGTGAGTCTTAGGACTGTTTTCCTACAGAAATAGTACTTTCTATCTGGAATTGTGGAACTGAGATTTCTCTCGGCCCTCAGAAACAATTTCCTCAGCAGAAAAGCTTGGGCCGAGAATTAAAGGGAAAACCCAGAGCTACCTTCCTCTTAGGCTACTTTTGGCCTTCCCAGGCCCCAGACTTGGAACTAAGGTAGTCAGACGGCGCCCCAACTGAGGAGGTGACATAAAACTAGGTTTTTGATCAGGGAGTTTAGGGGGGAAACTAACCTATATATGACAGATGGAAACCTGTTTCTGTCAAAACCTCTTAGGATAAAGGTAACTGCAAAACTAGCTAAAACCTCTGGTTAACAGTCTAACACATTTCCCCAGAACTAAATGTCTGAAAATTTGATTTAGCAGTAATAAGCCATCTCATTGTCTAACTCTAGTATCAGCTCAGTTCAGTCTCCCAGTCGTGTCCGATTCTTTGCGACCCGTGAATCACAGCACACCAGGCCTCCCTGTCCATCACCAACTCCCGGAGTTTACTCAAACTCATGCCCATCAAGTCGGTGATGCCATCCAGCCATCTCATCCTCTGTCGTCCCCTTCTCCTCCTGCCCCCAATCTCTCCCAGCATCAGGGTCTCTTCCAATGAGTCAACTCTTCGCATGAGGTGGCCGAAGTATTGGAGTTTCCGCAATTTGTCAGTATTAGTGTAATTTCCGTAACTAATCTTATATGAATTCTCTTATTACTCTGTTCAGTTGCAAAATGTTGACATCATATCTAAGTTTGTCTGCTTATATAAGTATGTAACTTACAAACCAGAAGACTTTATGAAGCAAGAGTTCTATTCTCCATCCAAGAACGCCTTATAAACGAGTAATCTGAGCATTATGGGCTTCCCAGGTGGTGCTAGTGGTAAAGAGCCCAGCTGCCAAGCAGGAGACATAAAAGACACTGATTTGATCCCTGGGTCTGGAAGATCTCTTGGAGGAGGGCCCAGCAACCCACTCCAGTATTCATGCCTAGAGAATGCCATGGACAGAGGAGCCTGGCAGGCTACAGTCCATAGGGTGGTGTGGGGAAATTAACAAGATGGTGTCAGTTAGGCTCTCTCTCCCCATGTTCTCAGAGCCTTCTCACCCATGTTCTATAAACAATGACTTTGCATGATTATGTAACAGCCGAAATCACATATAGCACTGCACATTTGCATCGGGAGGTACTCACCTGGTCATGAGCTACTTTGTATGGTGGGCCTATGCGGGCTTCAACATGAAAGCCCTGGCTGCTGCTGCATTAGGGATACATTGGAGAAACATCATGGTTATGTTACATGAGGTTATGTTATGACTCTGTTATGGCTTCATTATGGTTATGTTGTGGCTGTTGCTATGGCTGCGGCGTCAGCCAGGAGAGAGACTGCGATATGGCTACTGTGCCAGACAGGAGAGAATAAACCTGTCTGCAGTTCCCGTGGCTCCTCCAGTCTCCTTCCAGCCTCAGCTGGCGCCTTGCCTACCCTGGGTTTAGCAAACAGTGTGAACAGAGAGATAACCGGTGTCAGGTACAGGATCAGCAATACAGGTGGCAGAGTTGGGACACAAATGAAGCAACTTAGCATGCAGGCACAAACAAGCACCTGAGGACTACACCATCTCTTATTGGGAAGGTGATTTTACTATGTTTGAATGTGGTGCAGTCTCTCTCTGATATGGACTCTTGAGACATGCCTGTCTCAACTCCTCCCCTCCCCCTCCTCCCCTCTCCCTCTGGTTCTTTGATTCCTGTGAGACTTGAGATCCTAGGCCTAAATGGCCAGCCCACAGCCTTGCCTGCCACTTAGCCACCCTGGAGTGAGTGGGTAAAGTTCCTTTGGTGCTGCTAAGACTAAAGTTAGAATCAGGGAGGGGAGGGGGATGGGAGTGCTTTAAACAAGCACTAAAAAGGAAAAACCACCACTGGGAAAAAAAACCCCAAAATAGAGAAAAAACTTACTAACTCACTTTATAAATCCCAAGTTCTTGAGCTGAAGTCAAGTCACAAATGGAATTGGCTGATACACAACCTCTTGGGTATAACTGCTACAGTAACAATACAGTAACAACAACTGCTATAGTAAAAACAATAATAATGATAATAGTAATGATTTTGAAAAAAATTATATCAGGCACGTTTTAGGTCCTTTTCATATAGTCACTTATCTAATCTTCACAACAACTCTACAAAGTAGATATAATTTTCATCTTTTAGTCTTGAATTTCTAGAAGTCTCAGAGATTAATTTTTTGCTAATATTTATGCTCTTAGTGAATGGTGAAAATGAAAGTTGCTCAGTCATGTCCAACTCTTTGTGACCCCATGGAATTCTCCAGACTAGAATACTGGAATGGGTAGCCATTGCCTTCCCCAACAGATCCTTCCAACCCAGAAATCGAACCAGGTTCTCCTGCGTTGCAGGCAGATTCTTTACCAGCTGAGCTACATTAACTTGGATTTAAACTCTAGTCTGTCTGCTTCTACCTGTAATGGATGATTTCATGTGACTCCTCACTTCCTCCTCATCTTGCTTTCTAATTACCTTAAATGTAAATTCAAATAATTCAGATTGGTTGTTCAAGGTATATTTGAGTAGGCATAGCTACTGTGAATCTTAACTCTCTAAAAGGTGCCTGCCAATCTTTAGGAGTAGTGTTCTCTCAACACTCTTATCTACCCTGGCTTCTTCAGCTTTCCCTGGTCCTGACCCCTGGATGAAGAAGACAATTTCTTATCTGCCTTCCCTCCTCTGCCCCCTACATGCCTGGCCCAAAAATCTCTTTGGTCTTAATGCACTCTCCTGGCTTTTCTTTTCCTTGATCTATTCCATTTTTCTGTGACATATTCATTTAACAAATATTTGTTGAGTACCTACTATGTTTCAGGCCCATTTCATTTCAAGCCAGTCATTAAAATGAACAAAGCTCTGTTTCTCCTCTATGTTCCAAAGCTTTTATCATTTATAATTTTTTTTATCTCGCCAGTGATCTTTTTAGCTAATGATAACATTCTTAGAGGAGTGTGAATTAAAGGTCTTCCCATATCCCTATCATAAAAAAAAGAAAACAAAGGTTCAGAGATGTTTACTGACTATCCAGATTACAAAACTACTAAGTAGCTGAAATAGATACTGCACCCTTGTCTGATTACATCATATCCCTGATTCTTTCCACTTCGCATTACTTTCCCTTCAACCACCATTCCCTGGAGTCCATCCACATCTCATTTGCACCTTCCAAAGAGCTGAGCAAGCTACATATATCTTCTTGTTTCAAAGCTCCAACTTCCTGTTGGATCTTACACAAAGATCAATTTCCCTTTCAGAGACATCCTTTGTCTCTCATTCAAATCATTTTCAGAAAGAGATTGGCAATCTCAGATTATATACCCACTATGTATACCCTCCACAGTCTCCAAGGAAATGACCCACCACAATTTAATATATAAAAATTCATTTATACATTTGGCAACCATAACGAAAATGATAATTTTCATCAAAAACAAAAGGGACATATTTTTTCTTAAATCTGGGGAGAAAGGACTAAACAGCATTATAGATTGAAGAACCATATTCTGAGTTAGCTCATATTAGTTTTATTTTTAAACTAAAGTAAAACAAAAAGTTGTATGTGTTCAGGGACATAGTTATAGTACTGAAGAAGAAAACATTAATAGAAGGAGAAAAGAAGATCCTAAGGCAGGCTTAATTGCCTTCATTGATTGGAGGGTTACTCCATTCACAGTGTGAAAGTGATTATTCTACTTCGTTCTCCTCTAGTTCCATAAAGAACTCCATTTCTTTCAGGATTCTCTGCTCTCTTCCACTTTCAAAACTAATTCCTAGCTGCAAAAGGGTGAATTTTTTTAAACATTAAATTATGATCACTTCTCTCCGTCTCTGACCACCACAATTTCAAATCCGAAATTAAAATGTATTAATTCAAATACTTATTGAGATACTCCTACATATGTAACACTGTTCTAGGCACAACAGGGAGCTCTGAAGAAGTCTCTTTGGTTTCCAGGAAGATAACATCTAGTAGAGGAAGCCTGAGCAAGACATAATACAGAGCAACAGAGGACAATATAGTCAATGGGCCATTAAGTCTTAGATGTTGAGGTCCAGCTTGTAAAAGTAATTGGTTCTAAATAAACATTTATTTAGAGATTCACCTATTCTACTGTATAAAACACTAGTTTATTGCTTGCA